GATAGTCCTAGATGAAAGCTAAACAAGGTCTTAACCAACATGGAGAGGGAAAACTAAAACCAAGAGTTCGATCTACTCAATCATTTCTCTAAAAAGAATCCGTGTTTACCACCGTACCTATCTAAAAGGGTGGAGCCACAAGCACGCATAACCCATCCAGAATCAAAATACTCAGGGACCAAATGCAGCCCCTTCTACCCATGGCCAAAGCTTAAGAGCTCCTCATACACTCGGTGGTTTTTCGTTTTCTCAAGACCCATATTCTAGCTCCATCATGCTTCTTACAGACTCAGAGATGAACATTACTTGGTAACTAATGAAGTTCTGTTCCAATTCCAAAGCGCTTTACTAGTTTGAGCAAGTCTTGTGTGGCTGCATCTGCCCCTCAACCTTGTTATCATGGTTATATACAGATTAAATGAAGAGAAGTCGGGGTATAAAACTTATCATTGGCTCCCCATCCTCTTCCTCTGTGAACACATAGTCTTCCCTCCTTTTACCCTTTGCCTCCTTCTGAGCTTGCCTTTCCCCTTCCTCTCTCCCTCTCTTCCCTTCCTTCTTCCCCCTCCTTCACTGCTCTCCATCCCTTCTCTCCTCCCCTCCCTCCATCTCTTCCTTCTTTATTCCCTCTCTCCTCCTAATTACCTCTGGACCATCATTAGCATGCCTCACAAACATCTCTTTGTTTTAACCATTGCGCAATATGCATACTTAGGAAGTATAATGTAAGAAACTGCCGTGTATGTTCGTCCGGATTGACAAGTATCCTCAGAGAGCACGACCACGATTTCCCTCAAATATAATGAGACGAGGGATTAAGGAATGCCAAAGGGCTAGGATCAAGGGGCAGAATATCCGTTTTCCAGAATCACTGTAGGAGTTTTAAATAGAGGCCATCTTTGTGTCTGACTCTGTGTCCATTCATAAGCAACAGTGGTCCTTCTCTTTTGATAATCTACTGGTGGAAATTCCCTGCATCCTAGCCAGCAGTGAGGAATGTTGCTTAAAGCAGGATTACTGATGCCTTTAAATCATACTGTGTAAAGCTGCCTCTGTACGGAAGGAAAAACAAAACCTAGCTCGATGTTTTTTTAAAGTAGAGGGCATGCATCTTGAGAACGAGGGGGGGCATAGCAAGTGCATTAAATTGCAAATTAGAGACTTCCAGAGACTTCTAGGCCTGCGTTCTGCTTACTATAATGCCAAGTGAAGGCTGGGGATGTGACTGAGTTGGGCAGTACTTCTCTAGCAAGCCCAGTACCGGAAATAAAACCAGGTGGTTTCCTTCATGTCCCGGATCCCTCATTTCTTTAGCTGTACAAGGACAGATTCTGTCTTACAAGTCCTTTCAACTCCAGCCTCCTTTGTTATATGGAGATGATTTCAAAGGGAAGACCTAAAGTGAGTTTTAAAGGAAATTAACAAATGAACAGAGGAAGGAGCCTGGGATAAAATAGCTGCAAATGCCTTGGTTAAATGGATACCCAGTTCTTGCCTAAGAACAAATGAGATCAGTTGAACTGAGGAATTCCTGCCGTGCTTGTGGTCTCTGGTTCTGTATGAGGAGGAGGCTGCCCTTCCCTCTTTCCTCCCCAACAGGTTAGAACCTCATCTGGTAACTCTGCTGAATTTCAGCTGTGGGCTCGGGGCCTGGGAATGGAATGGGTGTGCCTGGGGGAGGGGGTGTCCATTGCGGGGAGCCAGGGACTGTTGAGACCAGTGTTCTCTGCAGCTTCCTAAAGACTGCGTGACAGCTCTCCTCCAGCGTGACCTCACTGCTTGCTCTCCTCATACTTCCTGTGCGAATGGAAGAGGGGACAATGAGGATGGCCTCAGCAAGGGTTCCAATCACTCTCCGCAAAGCCTTGCAGCTTGACGGAAACAGTCCCCTTGTTTGAATCTTGGAAGACCGAGAACTGGAGAGGAAGGACGCGCACCTTCCTGTGTTGTCTTTCAATACAATTATTTCAGGGATATTATCTGCAACATCAAGTCTAAAAGCCTTTGCCACTGGCTCCTCTTTCACTTCAGCGGAGGCCGAGCAAACTCTACGGTTCAAAGGTCACACTTCTTCACAAGGCTGCTCAGTGGAAAGGCCTGTGTTCACACAGAGCAGTGCCCTGTAGCATTTCATGCTCTTTAGAGTGCTCACTGTTGGCAGGGCAAAACCATTGTAATTCTTTCCACAGCTGCCGAGGAGCCTGTGTGTGTCACGTCACCAGGTCCAGTGGAAGTCAAAAGGCCACAGTTCCAAACAAATCTAGGTCCAGTTACATTAAGACTCAGAAATTCGAGACGACCAAATTTCATATGCTCACATCAAAATGATCTTATTTCTAGAAAGTACAAGTTGAATGTGTTGTAGCGCTGTGTGAAATATGCATCACATTTACTAATTTCATTCGACAGTGGTTTATTTGGCTAGAACGAACAGTACTGTGCATGTGCCAGGAAGATTGCTATTTAATAAGCAGGGGAAAAAATGGAGCTCATAAATGTTTGTGGAGGACTGGAATGTTCTACACTAAGATGAAATTTCAGTGATGTATTATTTAAAAATTATAACAACACTTTGGAATTTGAAATGTCTGATTACTGTGGACAATAAAGCTATGTACAAACAGCTTCTGTTCTAGGGAACTCAGCAGCTCTGGTCTCTCCACTGCACGCAGAGGAGTTCAAACTCACCACAAATGGACAAGGCTTTCCAGCGGGCTCCTGTCAGTCAGCCACAGGGCTTCGGCGGGAATTTGTGTTTCTGAAGCATTGGGCAAAGGATAGCAAAGTAAACACACAGGGAAAGGTTGAAGGGGCTAAGAGATCTTCAGCCAGAAGTTGTCAGCAAGCTGCTGGGGTGGAATGTCAGCAGCAGCAACGCGTGTTCTCTGGGTGCAGGCAGGAAACGGCATCTCTAAGCACGTCTCATTACTCAAATGCATGAAAGTACTGACGGGAACAGCTGGGCTTTTTCAGAGCTTTTACCCTTCAGTTAGTCTGGATAAAGTAATGTGCTCTAAAGCTAATTGTAGGTTGTTTTTAAATACAGAGTGAGGGATCTCCAGTTTATGAGCCTTCTTTTTTTTTTCCTGAAAGGATAAAAGTAGCAGTAGTGTGTGTGTGTGTGTGTGTGTGTGTGTGTGTGTGTGTGTGTGTCTAAGTTTGGGGTAGATGAATGTGTATGTGTGCATACATTTGTATGAGCACATTTGTATGAGCACATCTTATTTCTAGAAAGTACAAGTTGAATGTGTGTGAGTGTGTGTATCAGTGTGGGATAGATGAATGTGTGTGTGCACCCATGTGTATAAGATGGGGTAGGTGAATTGTGTGAGTGTGTGTGTTTGTGAAATATTGCATATGTGAATGTGTGTATGACTGTGTGTGTGCATCCATGTGTCTGAGAATGGAGTGAATATGTTTACGTAAGTGTGCACATGTGTGTATGAATGTAAGGTGGCTAAATGTGGCTGTGGTGTGATTGTGTGTATTTGTGATTTATGGAATGTGTGTATGACTCTGTGTGCATATACACACATGTCTATGTATGTGCATGAGTGTAAGGTGAGTAGTGTGTGAAAGTGTGTATGTGTGTGACAGTATGTGAATGTGTGAATGACAGTATATGTATGTACACATGAGTGTATGAGTGTAGGGTGAGTGAATGTGCAGGTGAATGTGTGCAGTTGCCTGAGTGTATGTACATGTTAGTGAATGTGTGGGTATGTCTGTATGAGTGCTTATCAGTGTTCAACAGATAAATGGATAGCAAAAGTGTAGTGCATCTACACAATGGAATTTTATTCAGCCATAAAATATGAAATTTTCAGGTGGATCTAGACAATATCATAATAAGTGGGGCAACCCCAGCTCTGAAAGACAAACATTCCATGTATCTATCATATGTGGATGCTAGCTTCTAATTCACATACATTTGTATTTGTGCAAGTGAATATGCATAGAGGCAGGAAACGGGAAAGAACCACAAGAAAGATGGGAAGAGGGTGTAAGAAAGATGCATGGACAATGTAGTAGATAAGTGTGACTCTAAGGTATAAGGGAAGATATTGGGGATAGAAATACCTAACCAGGAATGAGGAGGAGAAAAGTAAGAAGTGGGGAGACTCAGAATTTTAATAAACCTGAGTGAAAACGCATTAAGAAAACATGCTACTTTGTAAGATAAATTTTAGAAGTGGCTACATATCCAGGAGAGGGATTTCTGTATTATGTGGTAGTTCCACATTTGTTTGCATTTGTTTTTAAAGGTTTGTTTTTATTTTGTGCTTGCGAGTCTTTGCCTGTGTGTATGTATGTGTACCACCTGATTGTGTCCATGGAGGCTGGAAGAGGGCAACAGAGCCCCTAGAACTGTGGTAAGTGGCTTTGAAGGTGCTGGGAATTGAAACCAGGTCCTCTGCAAGAGCAGCTAGTATTCTTAACTGCTGAACCATCTCTCCAGCCCCTTATTTTTATTTTTGGGGGAGTTTTCATACTAGCACTCATAATGGTTATACTATTTTATACTCCCACCATGGGTGGGCCACTGTCCATGCCCTTCGCTCCAATCCCTGACCAAAACTTGCAGGTTTCATCATCTTTTTGATAATATCTTTTCTAACAGGTGTAAGATAACATTACACTGTGGTTTTAGTTTTCAATTCCTTGACGATTGGGGATATTGAGTGCTTTTGATGTACCCATTGACCATGTGTGTGTATCCACATCTTATGCCCATTTTCAATTGGGTTATTAGCTTCCATACTATTGAGCTGAATTTTTTATGTGCATGGGAAACCACCCCCTTGCTAACTGTATTTCTCACACTCTGTAGTTTGTCTCTTCATTCAGTTGATTGTTTCTCTAGTTATACAAAAAAACTTTTCCATGTGATATAATCCCAATTGTCAAAGTTGGGGACTTTTTATCTCTGTTTACTTCTAGTAAGTTTCACAGAGCAAGGCCGTTGTTTTAAGTCTTTAGTCTATTTGAGTTGATTTCTTTTTTTTTTTTTTAACATGGCAGAATATTTATCTAATCTCCGTAATAAACCTCATCCTCACATTCCCCTTTATCTGACAGCCTCCACACACTGACAAAATGGCACAAGCCGGTAGGACCACAGAAACCACGGCGCTTTAGCCCAGCAGGTGTGATAGCCACCGTGGCTTAGTTCTTGCCATGGATGACGTACAGGGGAGGTCTTTCCATTTCACGTCTCAAGCCTGGCCGCTCAGAAGCAAAAGCTGAGCTCTACAGGACTCCAGATGTCTTCTGTTCTTCTGCCGCCTGGCGCCTGGCACTGCGCAGCTGGAAATAATGGTAGGCGCGCACGCTGCAGAGGTAACCTCCGTACACAGTGAGGAGCATCATGGAGGCAGAGAAGGTCTTGTAGCCAATTCAGCTGGATGCTGCAGCTCGGCCACTTCAGGGCGATTCCTACTGAGTCTGTCACTTGCAGTCCGAGTCGCTCAGAAATTACCCCAAGCGCCTCAGTCACTGGTGCACAGTCCTGGTCGTGACCCCTGCACCCCTGCGAAAACCTACCCCCTAGGGCGGGGCCCGGCTTCTTGAGTTGATTTCTTACTATCATATGACAAAAGGGTAGGCATTCGTCTTTCTACATCTGAATATTTAATTTTCACAGCACCATGTATTGAACACATTTCCCATGCTGTGTGTTTTTGACAAGTATGTAAGTAATCAACTGACTATTAAGTGCACAGATTTATTTCTAGGTTCTCTAATCTTTTCCAGTGGTCTATGCATCTTTTTTAAATGTCAGTATAATGTCATTTTGATTACTATAGCTTTGCAATATATTTATGATCAGGTAGTATGATGTCCCATTGTATTCCTCTTGCTAATGATCTCTTTGGAAGTTTTAAACTTTAGTAGAACTTTCAGAGTTGTTGTATCCACTCTAAGAAAAAAAGAGGTAAGTCCAAGCCCTTCCCCCTGCCTCAAGGCTGCACGAGGTGTCCCATCATAGGTAGTGGGCTCCACAAAGCCCATTCATGCAGCAGAGATGGATTCTGATCCTACCGCCAGGGGGCCTCCAAAGCAGATCAAACTACACAACTGTCTCACCATGCAAAGGGCCTAATCCAGTCCCATGTAGGCTCCACAGCCTTTGATCCAACTTTCATGAGTTCCCTCTAGTTTGGTTTGGTTGTCTCTGCATGTTTCCCCATCATGATGCTAATGCACTTGCTCATAGAATCCCTCTTCTCTCTCTTTGACTGGACTACTGGAGCTGTGTCTAGTGATTGGCTGTGGATCTCTGCATCTGCTTCCATCAGTCATTGGAGAAAAGTTCTTGCCTTCTTCTGGGAGGGAGTGGGGGATGGGCTGGGAGGGGAGGCTGGGGGGTGAGAGGAGGGAAGAGGGGAATCTTTGATTGGTGTGTAAAACGAATGAAAATTTTTTTCTTAATACAAAAAAGAAAGAAATACTTTTTGAAGTTTACTAGAGAATGTATCAAACATTTAGATAACTAGTGACAACGTTTTATCAATATCAGTTCTTCTAATTCATGAACACTGTACATCTTTGATTGGTCATATCTTCTTTAGTTGTTAATCTAAATTGTATAGATTTCATTAATGTATTTGCTACATTTAAAAAAAATGAAATTGTTTTCTTCATTACATTTTAGGTTGTGCATTGTTAATGTGTGGAGATGCTCTTTATTTTACATCTTAATTTTAGAGTGTGAAGCTTTAACAGTTTTGTTATTAGTTGATGGGTGTTTTGTTTTTTTTTTTTTTTATTAGAATCTCTATGGTTCCCTACATATTTGCAGACAAGGAGGAGTTAACCCCTTCCTTTCCAATGTCTTTCCCTTTACCTCCTTGCTCTGGCTATTAGTAAAGTCCCATGTTGTTTAGAAGGGGTGAGTATAGTCGTCCTTATCTTTTCCCAGGTATTAAAGGAATGAATGTCTTCCAGCTTTTCCCACTGATCACAGTATGAGAGGCAGGCTTCCATATATGGTCATATTTCATTTTTATTGAATACATATTTCCTGTATGTAGTATGTTGGTCTATTTTTAAATACTGTTGGATTTTGTTAGATTATTTTCTGCATCTTATAAAGTGTCCACATGGCTTTTATCCAATTTTGTTAGTGAAAAGCACCTCATTTAGATTTGTATATGTTGAATGCATGCTCTGTTGGGATAGATCCTCTTTAATCCTGACAAATGGTCCTTCAGTATGCCACTGAATTCAGTTTTCTAATATATCTATGAGATTATTTTTTCATCTGAGTTCATCAGGGACATTGGCTGACAATTTTCTTTTATTGTACTATCCTTGTCTGATTTTCTTGCTAAGATAATCATGGCCTCATCAAACATGTTTGGGAGTTTTCCTTAAGCTTTGGGGATTTGGGTAAGAATTTTTTTGTTTAATTTTGTTTTGGGGGGATAAAATTTTAAGAAGGACTACTATTATATGTTTAGTGGAATTCAACAAAAAAAAATCTGGGCATAAACTAGTGAAATAGACATTAGAAGAACAATAAAAGAATCAATGAAACAAAGACTTGGTTCTTAGAAAAAATAAACAAAATTAAGGAGCTCTGAGGACAGAGAAAAGTGAGGAAAGACTAGACTGTTTGCTGGTGAGCAGGTTTTCATCACTGAAACTCTGCACTCACTACAGCTGACAACAACGCTAACGTTTTCGGGAAATCACTGTTGTGTTCCTGCGTGGTACAGAGCCACAGTGGACACGTGTCTGTGTCCTCTTTTGTATAACTATATCAAGGTTGAAATAATACAAATAAAACTTGCAAAAGTTACAATTTGCCCAATCTAGCATAATTGGATATCTGTGAAAGCCTCAATACATCAAGAAAAAAAAATAATGACAATATCACCTGCAAGAGTGTTCGTGTGTCCCTCTGTCATCCATCCAGCCCTCCATTTTACCTATAGGCAATTGTTGTCTGTTTTCTGTCTGGTATCATTTGCATTGTTATAAGTGGAATATGAAGCAAGCATTCTCCTATTTCCAGATTTTTTTCCACTGCACATAACTCTGCCATTCACTCTCCAGTGTAACATTTGCATTAATGTAACTTCTTCACTGCCCAGCAATCCCCTTTGCATGGCTATGTGACAATCTGTTGGTGCCTTCTAATTTTGATGGGAATATGAGTAGTTATCTGCCATTTTACAACCGATTGAATAAATACAAATCTTCATTTCTCCATCTCCTTGACAAATTACCCTGGCTGACTTTAAAGCTTTTACATGTAAGTCATGATATGCCACTGAGAATTTAACCTGCTGCTGGTTATATATAGATGTCCATGAAAGTACACTTTTCTACTCAAAATTTTACTTATCACAGGCATGCTTTTTTCTTTAACTTTCTTATTTATTCTTTGTGTCTTTCACATCATGCATGTTGATCCCATTCATTTCCCTGTCCCTTTGTATCTGCCCTCTGCCTTTACAACACCCACCCATCCCCCCAAAAAAATTAAAATAAAATTTAAGAGGAAAAAAAAAACAGAGAAAGGAAAAATCAGTCTCGTAGAAGCTGTAGTGTGGCACAGTGACTCACACAGTAAACCCTTTTGTCCATTTATCCTTACTTGCAAATGTTCAATTTCGAGGCTTCTAGTTTCGGCTGCACTATAGATGCGGGGCCCTCACAGGAAAACTCTTGGCACAGGATAACTCTTGGTTATCCTGCTGTTGCTCTGTGTCCTGGGTATCCTACAGCTTTGGGTCTGCAGGACCAGTCAGTCCCTTCACGAATGCTCCAGCAGATCACAGATAGGGTGGATGTTGGGGTGGGCCAACTCACAACCCTGGTTCTGGGCCTGGGTAGTTGCAGGGTTGGTCAGCCACCAGCTCTCCCTTGTCCTCACCACCAGGGTGAGCTCTCCTGCAATTCCCTGGCTAGTTCACTTCTTGCAAGTGGGTGGAGCCAGTTCTTCAGCTTCCAAGTCCTCAGGGTAGGATCTCCCACATCTCTCACCTTCAGGGCCAGCTACTGAGTTGCCTAGGTGAGGCGTGGTGTAGGGGCCTCACTCTCCAGACTGCTTCAGCTGATGAGGGGCAGGGACAGCTCTCCTGCTCTTATGACCTCAGGGACAGCTCTCCCACCTGCCTCAGGCGTTGATGGGCAAGGGGGAAAGGTCATCTGTCTCCCACACATACAGGCATGCTTTTCAAATGAGAAATGCCACTCACTCATTTGTGATCAGGCATTAATTGGGAGGTGGACGCTACATCATACCCTGACATTCTATGTGAACAGCAGAGGTCTTTACTCAGTAGCTCTCTGAAACCACATTCCCCACCCTCAAAAATATTTCCCAGCATGCCTCAAGGCAGCCACTGGCAATCAATCATCCCTGAAACAGGAGGGGGATTGTACTAGCCTTCTTTGCTTTAGGTTCATGGTAAATATTTCCCAGCAAATTGTATTTGCCCAATTTCTAAAAATAAATTCACATTCCTATAATAGCTGAAGAAAATAATGAAACACTGAGGCACTGTGCCCAGCAATGCCCATTCTAGATCTTTCCAAGTTTACTAGACACTGTCTCCCAACTTAGAGAAAATTAACTGAGCATATCGCTAAACAAAGTGTACATACGGAGAAAAACAAAGATTCCTTTTCGAGGAAAGGCGTTTCTTTCTTGCCTGCTTCTCCTAAAAGTGCAGATCTGGAAGCAATTTAGCAAATCTATTGCATGTAAATTATAATTAACTTTGGACAGAAATCATTTTTTTAAAGAGGTAGATAAAGTCAAGGACAGGGAGATTGTGTTCAAACATAAATGCCAAGTTCAGTGAGGCAGAAACAGACCAACTGTAGTGCCAACTCTAAATCCATGCTAGGCTGTTCAAATTGCTGTTACTGTCCAAAAATGTTGCATTGCTATTTTACAGTAACAAAACCTTACGCATTTATGACTTTGATTACTCAAAGTTCTTCTGAATATAATCATTTGAATTCATTCTCCAGGTACATAAAATTGAGCTGAATAAAACTCATACACTACAAATGCCAAACACAAAATGCTCTATCCAGCTGGGCTATGGTGGCGTATGCCTTTCATCCCCCAACACTCAGAAGGCAGAGGCAGGTGGATTTCTGTGAGTTTGAGGCCAGCCTAGTCTACAGAGTGAGTTCCAGGACAGCCAAGGCTACACAGAGAAACCCCGCCTCAAAAAAAAAAAAAAAAAAAAAACCAACAAAACAAAACAAACAAACAAAAAACAAAAAGCACTATCCATCTCAGTTAATGATATCATTCTTGGAGTAAAATCGATAGCTTGAAGAAGCAGTAAAAATATTGCTTAAGCAAACAGCGGTGTTTTGCAGTACCCACTCTTCTGGGGTTGCATTCTCAGTGGCTCACCTGTGGCTCA